ATTGACTGTAGCAGACGACGCGTGAACTACAGACACTTCCCCATGCACTTCCCTGTGCTGGCGGCGCTTTCATAACAGTGAGTGAATAGGCCTAATCGATAAGATTTATTCTTCCTTCACAGTTCAAGTTTACATTTTAATTCCAGGCAAATTTTTTATTTCTCAAGATTTACCTTTATTCCGAGAGAAATTTGATTTCATTGTTAAATGGAACTTACCCATTCCCTGTCAATTTTAAGTGAGCGTACTTTTCACGTGGCTAAACTGTCACAGAAATTTAATTAAATATATTTACACAGCGGTGGAGGTGCGGATACTTATTTCAGCGACTCAGCCTCAGAAAACACAATAACTTTTAATAAAAGAGAAAGTTTTACGATCGGTTTTCGTAACATAAACGCACAACTAAATGACTGAATAGAGGAAACTTAAATTTTCAATGGACTAACTTGACTTGACTTGACTTGACTTGACAAGTTAGACGCTTGAGGCCTTTCTCAGAGACCTGTTCGTCTCCCCGAGACTATACTAACTTTGTAATATTAGCAAAATTCGGGGGCGGCTGGGTTGCAAAAAAAAGTTAGTGTCTAGTTCTGGCATGATGGAGCATAGTAAAAGTAATGGAGTAGCGGGTTCTCTTTGTCTGCATCTTCACTGATGATGCTGAATGTTTTATCGTCAATGTTCTCACATTCACAGTGGTACCACACGAAGCATATCTCGCATTGCAGCGCCCTTTCCTTGCTTGTCACCTTCTTCATACATATACCGCACTTGTCTGAACCGAAAGGGGGAAAGTCGCTGTTGTTTGCTTTTCCATGCTTGGATATGGTGCTGCCTGAAATTTTGTTATTGCTACTGGCTGCAGAAGATGCCGTGCCAACTCCCGCCATTTTGCTCTGCCTCATTATTAGATTTAGAGAACGGACAATCTTCTCAGCGGTGAAGAGAGATCAGTCGCCCACAACCTCACTCTGCCTTATTATTCTGCGCACTTGAAATACTTGTTAAAAAACGTTTATTTCCGGTACAAACACAGATAAAAACTTGATCGCCCTAGATTGGCACGCAGTGACGCACACGTGACGTAGACGCCACGCAGTGAAACGATTACCGTGAATTATTCAATCTGTGTGTACATGTTTGTTGCTATTAAAATTACAGACGGGTGCCGAGCTAACTAAAGATTTTACGAGACAATATCAGCTTAGCCTCGACCAGGTTAGCATGACTCAATCGACAATTCTACGGACCCGCCTGCGAACTCGCCAGCGGACTCGCGCAACTGGGACACTCATAATTTCTATACTTAACGGAATTTTCTGTATGAATTTTGGAATGAGAGTATTAATTATCGATACGCTGCCGCAGGAATTATTACAGATTTTGACATGATTTATTTTTTACTTAAAACCAATAAGCGTTTTTTTAAGCAACTGGGACACTCATAATTTTCCAAAATTCATACAGATCCGTTAAGTATTGAAGGAATTATGAGTGTCCCAGTTGCGCGAGTCCGCTGGCGAGTTCGCAGGCGGGTCCGTAGAATTGTCGATTGAGTGTTAGGTTAGCATGTCATTGTCCATTACCTTTCATGAACAACAGTTCGGCCGCAAACTATAGAAACTAATTACTATGAGCTACAAGTCATCCAAACGTTGAGAAAATGTTAGAAATGACAGATATAATCATTGAGCGTGGCCTTTGGTTGCTAGGTTTCTTATTAAAAACTATTGACTCATAGACTGGGCCCAAAATTGAGTCAATAATGACCTAAATGTCGACCTCATTTCTTAGTCGCACTCTGTAATAAAGCAAAAACAATCTGTTCATTAATTACGATGTTTCATATTCTTCATTCTTTTATACCAAGAACGTGCAGTAAACCAATTGCAAAAGAGAAATTTTACCATGAAACCGTAAAAAAAGATTGAGCTTGCACGTCATGTAATAGTTTATAAGGAACACGTATAGCCAGTAGAAACTTTAGTAAAATATACAGGTCGAAGTAAATTCATTGCCAATCTGTGTTCAAACATTATCATGAGCAATTTATTAATTAAATAACTCAAACCCTTTTTTATTATTAGATTTAAAATTTAAATTGTGCCACGTTAAGCTAGTTTAATTTGCATTCTTATCCGCTACTCCGTACTTTAAAAAGCTATGTAAACAGTTAACACAGCTGATGAGTTGGCTCCAGCTGAACTGAGATCGTAGATGTCGCTTATACTTTGTAGTTGCCAAGTTGTTTCTGCTGTCAAATGTCAATGCTGAATGCAGAACGTCCGTAAGCTGCTTTGCTTACATGCTACACCTCTCCATACATAGGATGAAAAAAAATATTATTCTTGAGTCAATACTAATAGCTATGCCATTATAAGTAGACAGCAACAGCAAGTTCTAACTCCGACTGTCGCTGTCCGACACACNTGAAACTGTCTCTTATACACATCTAAACCACGGCTCGAAAAATTCAGTCGCGGCTCGCCAAGTAGATATATTCCATACTAGTGCCCATTCTGCTCTACTGAAATCCATGCCTTCCATGGTGATGGTGTGCCAGGTGTGGAAGATGTTCAAGATAAAATAGTTAAATATGGATGCGTGGCAATGCAATCACACACAGTACACACAAACAAATAAAATTACTGTAATTGTCAATTGTCATACATGTTTATCCACTATCCACATTGTGTTGCAGTTGGATTATGAGTTGACTAGATTGCTAACACGTCAACTTGGGTTTTAAGAGTCAGCACAGACAGCACTCAGCACAGTTATTAATATTCATTCATTCATAGATCACTGACACAATTCAGACAGACATGAATTACAGAAATAAGGAAGGCAACGTGGCAATGGCATGATGCTTGAGATGTGCCATTGGTGCCTTGTAATGAAATTAAGTGAATGATTGGTTGTGGACTTGCCGCAAGCCGCAAGTAGGGTGATCACTGATCAGATAATTACAGCTAGTGAGCTAGCTATATAACAGTACCTACAAACCTGTATAGTCAAATGGGGTAAGACAGGATCGCAGCCTTCATGGGGTAAGAAAGGACCAGCCCATGGCGTGCATTCTAATTGCACTGAATTCAATTTGTGTCAGGAAACTGAGGAAAGTCCTACTTTTTTCTGAAATATTGCTGCTCTATTATTATAGAATTTCAGTAGGTATGAATACTTGCAGCTCTAATGTCATGAATTTTTGTTCGATTGGGAAAATAAAATACTGTTCATGTACATACTATACATATATAGGGTAAACGCGGTATATTCCGACACATTAAGGACGCATCGAGAAATGAAAAGCTATAAAAAATTAACCATATGCGTTACTCAAGTTCTGTTTGCTTTGCGTGACTCTCATAACACTGCACTACGCGCCAGCAACAATGAAATGTCACAAAGTGTTGCCATATTTATTTAAAAGCCTTTAGAATGCAAACCTACCAAATCCCTATATTCAGATGCTGTGTGTGACTAAATTTGGCACGTTGTGAGACAAATTCTGGCTGCACTTCAAACTCTACTAATACGTTATTACGACATCCTTGTGTTCAAATTCCGATCGCTGTGTGAGCTGTATTGGAATACATCATGGCTTTGAATTAGAACACTATTGAATATTGAACACTACTTAATTAGGCTTTCAATTAACAGCTATTAAACTTTTAATTAAGAAAATTTTAATTTTTGCACACAGCTTGGAACGAGCTGTGTGTGTCCAATTCAAGTTGTGTCGAATTAGTTTTTATGTGTCTAAATCCGCTTCTTAAGTTAATCATCTATTAATTTATTTACTACTTGAAATCAGCAAATACAAGTATATATATACTTAAAGGATTCCTAATATATTCAGACATATTTAAAAGTCTCAAACCATATTATTCTTTTTACACAAACAGTTTATCAGTATTTGGTAGAGCAGGGTCGACTATCAACTTTGACACATTTTCGATGATCTCACTGGGTGGCATGCACTGTCTCTCTTTGGATCTTGACATTTTCCCACCAGACAGCCCAAACCTAGTGTTTTGGCAATAGTTTGGCGCGCAAAGGTATGACCTATTTCAGCCATCAACGAATGGGTGGAACTAAGACAAAGCTTAATATAAAGGAAAAACTTGAGATTTGTCGGAATTACCCACGATGTCGGAATATACCACGTTTACCCTACATAATCAACATACTACTATATAACTATTCACAATTCTATTGATTAGTTCAAACTTCAAGTTAGTTGTAACTTGTAAGTTCACAAATGATACTGTGGTATGTGGTTTCCTTAAGGCTTTTGACTTCTGAGCCTATTGTAAATACTTAGATGCATTCTTTTTCAACAAGGTAAACATACATTTGAATTTGAGTCAGAAAGTCATATATGACCATTGGTTTTTGTTTGAGACAACGTTATCATGCCTCTGCCAATTGCCAATAATCTATCATTATGTGTGTAGCATTATCCTCTATAATGCATGCAAATTAATTTAAATATGATAATTTAGATGAAAGTTTTGATGTGGGCTATGAAATCAATAATCTTTCCCCATCTTTTAAAAGATGGAAGTACCAGTACTAGTACCTACTCAATTATTCAAGTTAACCTAATTGAATGGAATTAAATTGAATGTTAGATTGTTACTCGTTACATTTGTATGTAAATGAATGTAATTTGTATGTAAATATGAATTGTACGAAAAATTTTAATCATAGTGACTGCATTTAATAAAGTCTCCAAGTGCAAAATTTTAAAAAATATAACTCCGCACTCACTGCAGTGAGTGACAGAGAGCGCATTTACTCGTTGACAAAAACTTGAGGTCACGGACGGACGGACAGGAGAGACAGACAGACAGACAGATGGACATGGCAAACACAATAGTGCATTTTTTCCATAAATGAGAAAATGTGCTAAAAATACAGGAGTAAATATATCTTATGATATTTTTTTTTACTGACTTCAAAAGTTAAATTTCTGCTTGTTTCTATGCTTGTCTAAAAAGGGCTAATGCAAAGTTTCACTCAGTTTTTGTCTAAAAAGTTAATAAATTTATTTAAATGGCAACATCATCATTGGATTCTGCAGTTACAATTTCTGCTTTAACCTCAAATTACCCTATTGATAAAAACTCTGCAAATGGAGAATTATTATCTCCATTGGACTTCGACTTTGACAATTTAACATCTTTGAAGGATATTGAAGATGCCTATAACAAGCTCTGCATTGAAGAGGTTAGTGTAAGAAATAAACCATTAAAGCTGCAATCCAGAATTTAATAAGTTTCAAAAATTCATATTCTTACAACTTAATCATTTTGCACAATTTGGTAACTATTTTATGCATACTTTTAAATGTACGTATGTACTAATGAATGTTTCTGTAAAGACACGCAGTAACTAAAATGTTGATACATCTTCATTTGCAGAAACGCATTGATGAACGACTGGATTGGAGTGTGGCTAACAGACATCAATTAGAAGCTCGTCTTGCTCAGGTATTAACTTCTGAATGGTTTGATTATACTTGTCACTTGTTCTTGTGTCCAAATATCTCAAGCCTTACAGTATTTCGAGAACAAAGACTGCATTTTGAAATAAGTTTCTACTCGCCAGGTCTCAAAGCTACTGCCATCTTTGCAAGTAGTTTATAATGATGCTTGCCAGCTTCAGAACACTATTGCCAGCACTCAGCAACTTGCAACTGCTGTGTCAGCAAGGGTGCGCAAGCTTGACACAGCAAAGGTAATACAAAGTTTTGTTTGTATGAATTCACTTGTAATGTTTTTCAGAATAGACCGTTTGTACTAATTAATGTTCACTGATACTTTTTGTCTGATATCTTGCTCATCTATTATTTTTGAAATGGTACCTACTATCCTTGATTATATATTGTTATGTGTATTGCTTTGTTAGAGTCATATTTATTTAGATGATTACTGCTGACAATACCATGAAGATACTTTGTATGTCAGCAAAGTGTTGTTGAGGTACAAAGGCGGGTGGCAGATCTTCTGGACTTGGAAGGATGTGCTGGAGGTGTGGCTACAGCTCTCGTCTCAGAAGGTATACTTAAAAATTAGAATGAACTAGAATTAAGTTTATTGAATAATTTTTAAATAAATTTAGTGGAAAAGTTTTTTAAATGAGCAATTACGGTACTATTCACATCTATGTTTGATTTTGACTTATTTATTAAAACTTAGGTTAAAAGTTTTTCATGGCACAGCTTAAACTATTTTGCACTAAATCTAGACCCAAAGCTGCTTGCTTAGAATACCTATATTTTCTATCATGAAAGTAACAAATAAAAAACCTTGTGTTCTTTACATTCAGAGATGCAAGAAAACCATACTGAACATTCTAACAATTTTGTATACCTGTCAACAACAATAATTCATTTATTTTTTCAGATTATGAAACAGCAGCTGCTCACATACACAGATTTCTTGCAATGGATGAGACTCTTCTACTCCATTCTGCTGCTGCAAACTCAACAGGCAAGGTTTTATTATTTTTTCTTGCTTATATCGATACATAAAAGATATAGGTACATATGACTGCCAATTAAAATCATGCATTTGGTTGTTTTTGTCAAACCAAAATCAATCTTTATAGCTAAAACAATCATAACATGCAACATTCCTAATCTAACCTTGTTGAGGCAGAGTTGATTATGTTGATATCATCAATCAAGACACCGTACAGTGGTCACTTATTTATATGCAATACTATTTGTTCACACTCCTACACTCTCCCCGTCCTATGAAACGAATGATTTGTTTTTTATCTCAATTTGTTGTTACTGTACACAATTTAAGGAAGTGGCAGCATCGAGACATGGTTTGAGAAGCTGCGAGAAGCTGAGACACAGCTCAGTGCCCTCATCGAACGCCGCTTTGATGAAGCGGTCACCTCCCAAGACTCCGCCAGTGTTGATAGATTTTTCAAGCTCTTCCCCTTGCTTAACCGCAAGCAGCAAGGACTGCTCAAGTTTTCAGCCTTCTTATGTGAAAAAGTGCGTGAATATAAATGAATTTAGTCATTTAAATTTATATTATGTTGTTGTGGTTAGGCAGTATTGCCTCAATATTTTTTGCATTATTATTATCATCCAGATCTTGTCAATGTTTTCGTCCTAAATTGGTGTGATAGGATTGAGTTTCTATTGAAGATAATTTCTCAAGTCAATTTAAGTAATCACTAAATTAGCAAAGCATAAATTATCACTAAGAATTATTTTATTTCTTGTTATTCGACTGGATTCCATACCTACTTAAATTTTCAAAATGTTAATTTTTCTCTCTTCTAACTCTTATGCATTTCGCGACACTTTATCGCAAATTCCCGCTGCTCCCTGCTGATTTTAAAAATAATTTTGCTGACTATAAGTATTTTTTTAAATATTTGAAATATTTTCACTGATTTTCGCTGTTCTCTGCTGAGTTATCAGATCCAGGAGACGGGAGAAGCGGTGCTGACGCGCTGCCGCTCGTGCAGCAGCAACAACAAGCGGGCACACGTCATGTGGGCAGACGCAGCCACCGAACTCTTCGAGACGGTCGCGCGCATCATCGAAGTGCGCCAGCCTATCATCGAGACGTACTACGGTGAGCTCATTTTTAGCGCATTTTCTCATTTAAAAAATACAATATTGTGCTCGCCATGTCCGTCTGTCTGTCCGTCTATTTGTCCGTCCGTGACTTCACGTTCTAGTCGACGAGAAAATGCGCTCTCTGTCACTCACTGCAGTGAGTACTGAGTTATATTTTTTAAGCCGTTGACCTAGAGTAGTAGCATCTTAACTGTCAACTCGACCTAACGCAGTATCGATTTTATAAATATTGAGATACATTTTGTAATGTATTTGGACGATTCTTAGTACAAATAACTTTCTTAGCAAGACACGGGCAGTTAGCTGAGGTAGTACAGTGACTATTATCACCAGAAATAATTTTGTGAGCAGGGCCCGGGCAGCTGGCGGTGGTGGTGCAGGAGCTGGTGAGGGAGACGGACCGACAAGCTGGTCGCCTCATCGCTGAGATGCGAGCGCACCGCCGACTTGATGCCCTCACAACCGCAGTTTCCGAGTCGCTCAGGTTCGCTTCTAATGACCAATATATGTAGTTGCTCTCTATTTTTGCTACCTAAAAGCCAACCTCGGACAATAATTACGTTATTGCTTTCATTTGAAATTTTTTATTTATTAGTGTCAGCCAGAAGAGCCGAAGAGTACAAGTGGGCCTATATCTGTACTCTCTGTAGCAAGACTAGCCGTTAGTTTCTGAAGCGCGTTTAGTTTCCTGTAATTTTCGATGTCTACTTCAAGTGACATTGAAGAAACAGTATCCAGTATTAAATTAATTGTTCTTAAGCATAACGGCTCTCAAGGGCATTGTTCCTAGCGCTTTACCATAAAGCTCGCAGTAACTGACTGTGGGTCTCAGTTGTGAGCAGTTTTGTAGGAAGGAATCCCTTCTTTCCATTTCGTTGGGGTAGTATTTGTATCTCTCGTATTATTTGTATCACTCAGTTATTCTGATGTTGCTTCGTTCTCACCTAGTCTCAATGTTCACCGTTGTGAGTTGTCAATGATTTTGTGTTAGAAGTTTGTAATGATATATGATATTATAATCTTGATGGTTTGGTCGTTTTTACGTCTTTTAGTTAATGAAGTAGCATAGCAGCTGCGGTAGTAAACGACTTCAGTTCAGTACGAATGTACTCAGTACTGTACTGTAATAAACGAATGTACTCAGTTCAGGGAAATTTATATTCCAGCGCCTGTCATTCTAGCATTTTATTCTATTCATGCTATCCATTATTTATTTTTATAGGTACTTGTTAGTTATTTTTTTAATCATACTGATTCTCCCTCGTTATTGCAGCAACAACGGCCCCATGTACAACATCAGCAGCAGTATTAGTTATTTTTTTCAGTTCATACTGATTCTCCCTCGTTATTGCAGCAACAACGGCCCCATGTACAACACCAGCAGCAGTGGCGGGCCTGGAGGTAGTGGTGACTCGTACAGCTCGGCGCCCGCACTGCTAGACCCGCGGTCGCTGGACACGCTGCTGGGAGAACTCACGCTACTCAACGCCCGCGCCGACCTCTTCCTGCGCTTCATGAAGCGCCGCGTCGCGGTCTGTAGAAATGCTCTTTAGAAATAAAGATTTTGTTAGTAGAAAAAAATTGTTTGCAAATAAAGATTTTGTTAGTAGAAAAAAATTGTTTAGAAATAAAGAGTTTGTTAGTAGAAAAAAATTGTTTAGAAATAAAGAGTTTGTTATAAATTTTTAGACAAATTTCAAAATGTTTTCACTGTTATAAGTTTCAAGCAAAGACTTATCAGTCTTCGTTGCTAAGCAGTTTGCTATTCTAATGCACTTTTTGTTTAGTAATTTTGCATGTTCGTGAATATAAAAATGAAATGTTTGGAACAGTTCTCTTATTATTTATATCCAAGATTTTTCTGTTCTGGAACTGTTTACTTCGATTTTCTGTTTTTTTCTTTTTTCTAACATTAACTTCTCGATTATTATCTTTTTCTCAGGCTGACCTAGAGGCTTCAATTGTTGATCCTGACGATCTCAACAGACAAGTGAGTTATTTTTTAATACTGAGCAAAGCGAATAATAACATTGTGGAAAGAATAGGTTTACTTTAAATCGATTTCACTTCTGGTATTGTCAAGATTTTAATGTTGTCATGGAGAAAGATTTCCTCGATGAGCTCGTTCAAGAGTTCGTGTAATTATTTTTCTACGAATGTAATGTTGATGCAGTCCAATCTCTAATTAGTTCAAATCTTTAATTTTGAGGCCTTCGTACAAGTCGCCTGCTTAGTTTCATTCCCTATAAAAATCTTCCAAATGAACACACAAAGTAAACATTTTAATCTATATCCCATTCTAACCAAAAACAGAACATAGGTCTTCAAGGTTACGGCTGGAGGAATAGATTTGCTATACTTTACAGTTGAGCGCGGTTCTGTCCCTCCGAGTTGCCGCATACATTTTAATCTTGACCAGCATACAGCAGGATCTTTTGGGACTGTATTGCCACCGTAATTTCATGTCGAATACCAGCAGCGTTACCGTACTATATAACTGAAAAACAATGGCACTATCACTCACTGAGCAAGATGACAGTTTATCACCCGATGATCAAAGTAAATACATTATTTATTAAGTCATGGTGTCAGACAGATGGCTGATATGAATAATTGATTTATTTACTCACGCTAACAGCTGACCGACGTTGAGCGTAAGATGAACAGATGCCAAGTAGCATGCGACATGGCCGCGGTGTTGGGTCAGTATACAATACTGGAGCAGTATTACCTCAACCAGTCATTTGCTAAAGCGCTCTCTATGGACACGACCATCACTGCTTCCTCAGACTCCTGTGAGTGATGGCTGCTGCTGCTGGCGTGAGCAGATTTAATTATAAGCTTGTTTTAATTAGATATTTCGATTTGTTTTTCGGCTTTCGTGGAATTTTTTTCCCGATTTTTATATAAAATGTTAACGAAATTTCCACCATTAAAGCGAATTTTTATTCGTGTACTTATGAATAGGTATTTTTCTGCATTGTGAAATAAACTGGTATTTATACTTTTTAATTTTATAATTGGGCGTTGTGGATCAACTTCAATTTTATCGAGAGGCGAATTTATTCCAACGTTCTCGGTATGGATGCGATAATAGATCCTACATTTTTGATTGCTGATATGTTGATCCCACAAGAATATTAAATTTGTACTTACTGTTGGTTATAACGTACATCTTCTTCTTGTTAAGCATCTGTTGGTGACGCTGGAGACCAAAACTGCGCGCCCGTATCGTCCATCGTCGATGACGCTTTCTTCATCATCAAAAAGAGCGTCCGGTGAGCTAAAGATTACATTTTTAGGAGCCTGTGTTATTTCTTTGCTCATTGCTATGTAAATTACTGCTTGTCAAAAACGAAATCCACACCAAAACTGAAATCATTTCTTTAAGTTCTAATATTTTTGCTTAAAAACAGAAAGGCACATTGCTTTATCGTAGCCACCCATACATTTCAATCGCTTAATTTAAATATTATATATCACTGAATAAAAAGTGAACGTCGTGAGTGGTTCAATGTATTCCAGTAAGTAAACGTTAAAGTTACGAGTATATTAGTTAATTTAAGTGGGTAAAAGAGCACGTTAGAAGTAAGCAAATGCGTTTTTGCAGTCGCGCGATCGCGTCGAGCAGCCCCGACGGGGTGTGCGCAGTTCTCAACCACGCCGTGACGCTGCTGGAGACGCAGCTCGCTGCTGGCTTCCAGCACACGCTGCGCCGAGGCTTTCCTGCGCAGGGATATTATGATATTGCCCAGGTCAGCCGTTATTTTCATCCGTTGTGTCTCTCATATCGTTACTTTCTTCCGTTGTGTCTCTCATATCGTTACTTTCTTCCTTTGTATCTCTCATATTATTGCTTTTGTCCGTTGTCTCTTTCATTTTGCTACTTTCATCCGTTGTGTCTTTCGTATCGTTACTTTCTTCCTTTGTATCTCTCATATTGTTACTTTTATACGTTGTTTTTCATATCGTTACCTTCATCTACTGTGTCAATTATATCGTTACTTTCATCCGTTGTACATCTCAGGCGTTATTTCATCCTTTATATCCCCCATTATGTTACATCTGTTGCATCTCTCATGTCGCAGGTTATATGCTTTGTATCTCTATGAAAACAATCAATTTAAGACTTGGATGGGTATTGCTTTATCATTTTGTATGAGAATATGCCTAAGTCAAATCATTAAAAATTAGGTTTTGTTTCATTAATTTATATTTCGTGTACAACAGGCGTATTCGGCTATTCAGAGTTCACTGCAGACCGGCAAACTGCAAGGCAGCAGCGCGGACTCCGAACAACTCCGGCAAACGTTTTTGGTAATTTTTATCAAATTTGTTATTCAATTAACAAGTGTTAACGTAATTACTTGACGCTTTAGCTCGCTGTAACCTCATCACAGATTTTGTTCAATGTTATATTTCAGCCATGAATTCCGAGATCCATTTTTTTATCGAATGAAACGAGAAAAAAATACTGTTATCAAAAATCATACGTAAGTAGTCTCGTGAGTAAATTATTTGGAGTGAGCAGTTTCTTTGTTCAATAATTAACAAGCGCCTAATCATTAATGAGTGCTTACTCGATCAAATATCAGGTAGAATGACCAGCAAGGCTGGTCGAGGAGACTGTTTGAAGCCTGTGCCTGTTTCTCGAGCTACTTATTTTCTTATCGTCAAACATGATCATAAATAATGGTAGTTGACTTAAAACAAGAGTGATCCTAAATTATTGATTTGATCAACGTTTAGTGTATAGTAAAATTTTAATGTATGCATTCAGACGGCGCTGAACAGCGCAGAGACGAGTCAGCGGCATGTGGGCAGCTTGGAGAGCGCGCTGCAGGAAGCTGTCAGCTCGAACATGACGTCGCTCAGCTCAAATAGCACTGATAAAATACAGTCTTGCTTTGGTATTATGCTCTCCTCTCAAACTAAAATAAACCATCTAAAATGTGTTCATGTTTAGAAATGCAATATTTATACTTCTGAAAATCTTTGAGGATAGTAGTTAAGAACTTTGAAGTTCAAGCAAAAATTTGTGCTACATAGGTCTTACATTTGTCACTTTCATTCCCATTAAACCAAACAAATTAGTCTAGACAGAAGGCTAAGTACAGTTATACGGTTCAATTATTTTCTCGAGTTAACGAACTTCAAGCGTTGTGTGTCACGGCTCTTGATTCAAAATATGTTGCCTTGATTGTAGTGCTGTTCGTTTGATTGTGTGCTGGTTGCTTGAATTGTTGATGATTAAACCTGTGTTTGATCATGCGTTTAATTGTTTGCGTAATTGTTTATTTTAAGAGGACCGACGCATCTCTATAAAAAAAACGACGTTTATTAAACACGCTTTAACAATTACGACGCACCTCTTTAACAATTACGACGTTTATTAAACACGCTTTAACAATTACGACGCACCTCCATAACAACTGTTTATTTGCAGGAGACCTGCGTAACTGCGGGGTGCGACTGCAGGCGGTGACGGAGTTGGGTCTCAACCAACTGCGCGCCACGGCGGTGAAGCCGCGCGTCAAGTCCTGGATGGCGGCCTTCACCGGCGCGTCCTATGACATCACAGAGGTGACGTTCATCTTACTCATGCCTTTTATTTCCTTCTACTTCAAAAATAGATTATGGAAATACAGCAAAAATAATGTTCTCGATATAGCTTGACAAATTATTCCACGTTGTCAGCTGATAATGATTTGATTGTGCAGTATGTTATTAGAAAAATCTTGCTTAGGTGAGTTAGGTGAGTTTTTTTTCCTTGGGAATAATGTTATCCGCGGCGCATACCAACTATTAGTTGCCTTAGCCCAAGCATTTCGTAACTTTATCTTTACGTAATTAGGATATAGGTAGAGTTTACATACCTACGTTTCTTCATCATTTGAAGTTGGCCTTTTCTCGTCTAAAGTCTTGTTTACTTTCACTTTTCAGAGGCATTTTTCCTGAATGCATCAGCTCTAAGTTTGTGGAGTCTGACTGCGGTTCTCAGTTGCAGAGTTAACGTTCTGTGTTGGCAGGATTCTTTGCACCTTCTTTCTTTCTACGAGTATATGTTGCGGGTGGCCAACCTGAACGCCTTTCTTTTGATGGCTCATTGTTTCTGCGTCTTTGTGCATTGCTAACGTCGCTTCAATGCCCCGGAAACTTGAGACCGTCCATCTTCAGTGTTGGTGATTTTCATATGTCAAAATTTGTAAAGTTGAAGCGCTTTACCTGCGTTGGCGATGACCGTCTTCAACTTAGTCTAAACTGACGAGAAATATCTTGTTACTTATAGATAGTAAATTTCATGCAATTTCTCATAGTATACATTTAATGTACCTACTATCTAATCCGATTCGTTAAATTTACTTATGACGTAAACATCTTCGTATTTTTTTCACGCTGGATCGTCTTGAAATAACGCTTTTTTGTTATAGGTATATTAATTTTTTATGACAGGCAGCAAAAAATAATATGCATTGAATAATTTCCGGAAAAATTGTTTTACGGACGCTTACATAGGTAAGGTATACATAGGACGCATCAGATTTTTAGAGTTATGGTATAGTTATAAATATAACCATTCATTTGTATAATCATAAAATACCTCTAGTTCAATAGGAACGAAACAGGAAATTTCGGTAGCGTCATCTTAGGAGGAGATACGAAGCTCTTGACCCGTTCAGCTCAACCCTGATCATGCTCGTGTGGTGACGTATTATCATGTCAACAGGAGGAGTTCTCCGGCTACGAGGCGCACGATCCGTTCAGCTCGACCCTGATCATGAACGTGTGGTGACGTATTATCATGTCAACAGGAGGAGTTTTCCGGCTACGAGGCGCACGATCCGTTCAGCTCGACCTTGATCATGAACGTGGACGGGTTGGTACGAAGCTTCCAGCCTCTGCTCACGCCTGCCAACCACGCAGCTCTCACCTCCCTCCTGGTCCATGAAGTCGCGACACACATGGAGGCCGCGATCTCCAAGATAACGTACAATAGGGTCGGTGGCAGCTATTAAAGTCACGGAAAAAGAAACAAATTTCGTGTTATTGCTTGTTTCAACATACATAAATGTATAAATTATGCAATAACTGAAAATATTTGTTAATGCCGTCACACACATGTCTGAATTGAAGGGTTTAATGAGTGTATCGACGATCGTGAAATTAAAAAGTAATGATACTTGATAATTAGATGTCTTGATCCTTGAATGTGAGTTGCTCATTTTTAAGCTGAGATTAATTCTCAAACTGGCTGAAATGATCAAAATTATACGTTAACAGCAATAATAAGCATATAATTTGATGATTAAATTATCGTCAGCTGGGGGGTCTGCTGGTGGACCGAGAGGTGCGTGCGGTGGTCGGGTATCTCTCACAGGTGGCTCAGTGGAGCGTCAGGGAACAGCTGGCACGCATAACTCAGATGGCCACCCTGCTCAACCTGGACCATCTGCACGAGGTAATATGTTACATCAATACAGGAGGTAATATGTTACATCAATACATGGGGTAATGGATTGTTACCTGTTCTGTACTCTAGTACTGTGCTCAACTCTAGTTACTTGTTCTGTAGATGCTAATAGCATTGGCGCGGATAATGCCTCGTGGAAAAAAAATTAACGCTGTCTTATGTCTCTGATGGCATCGCTCGTTACTGGATGCCCTACTGACAAAAATAGCTACAATCACGTAACTCCGTCATCCAATCACTGACGGCTTTTCAAGCAAAACCCACCAATCGCTGACAAGAAGTTGAAATATAACCGGTTATTGAACATTTGCATATTTAAGCGAGAAGAATCAATCTATTCTTTTCATATTCGATAGGAGAATATTAAAACTATAGGTAGGTCAACACTGTGAAAACTTCTCCGCGAAGAAGAAGAACTAAAGTGTTGAACTGCCGGTCTCAAACTTTGTTTTTTGATCGAGCTGCATTGAAAAATTGTTAAGTTTAAATAGCATTTAGCAGAGGTCACTTTCCCGTACTCAATGCTCAAGGCAATAATGTCACTGGATAGCTTGAATCGCATATTCACTAGAAATTTAAAAGCTTCGAAAACCCACACAAAAATTCAGCATGTTTCTATTGAAAACGTTTCGGAGTCCAGCTACTCTAGTAACTATGCTCAAGGCATAGTTACTGGTCCAGTAGTGTCCCTCAGTGGACAAAGTGCCAAATGAACCGCCGCTTCCAGGAATCAAGTGAAAATACTTTAGGCCGCATAGGACTTTGTAAGCGGAGTTGTATTTAATGCTAACGCATGGCTTGCTGGACCAGGTGGAGGAGTACAGCAGCAGCCACTCCTGGCGCCTCACCCCAGCCGAGATGAGGAAGACGCTCGCCCTCAGGTTCGTTGTGGCCAATAATTAATTTTCACTTCAAAGTGAAGAATGAAAAAAAACACGTTTCAAAGTGAAAAAAAAAAACAGGTTTTACCGCGGTTTACATTTGCGCTCATAATCTTGACTGGCAGAAAGGGTTTTATTCGGATTAATTTTAATATTATTTATTATTTAGCAAATATTTCGCATGTTTAGCGAAAAGCCAAGGATAATTTACCAGTCATTTACTTAGACGTTAAAAATTTTTCCAGTGACTTACGGGTTGAATGTGGGATTGATGATAATTGACGAGTATCCGCTATGGGTGAGTTTAATGTTATTGTCGACTATCTTTTAGGCGTGAGGTTAATGTTATTGTCGACTATCTTTTAGGCGTGAGGTTAATGTTATTGGCGAGTATCTTTTAGGCGTGAGGTTAATGTTATTGGCGAGTATCTTTTAGGTGCGAGGTTAATGTTATTGACGAGTATCTTTTAGGTGCGAGGTTAATGTTATTGTCGAGTAACTTCTAGGCGCGAGGTTAATGTTATTGGCGAGTATCTTTTAGGTGCGAGGTTAATGTTATTGACGAGTATCTTTTAGGTGCGAGGTTAATGTTATTGATGACTGCGTGATCATATAGAAATACGTTGGTCAAGCATTCTATTCCGTCTTCTAGAATTCTTGCTTCCTATTTTCAAATAATTTTTCGTGCCAATAGCGAATTTACGTCTCGTAATAATTTTTTCTTACTTCATCGCTTCAATCTTTGCAGAGCGGACTTCAAGTATGACGACATCAAGCGGCTCAAGCTATGAAGCAAAGACGTACCAAGATAGTATTTTAATTGTTATCTATCTAAAATATTTATTTCTGCTTCAGGGTAAGCTAGTGTTTCCCATGTGTTGATATTTTCTAAAAATGTATCATCTGGAGAGGAGGCATTTGCGTTTCATTCTAAACGTTTTGAATGAGCTTCAAGTTAAATACTAAATTGTGTGAATCGTGATCAACGGCTAAAGTGAACTTATTGTATTGATTGATTAAAAAGTTTAATGGAAAGTATACGGTGTTATTGACGAAAATCATCTGTGATTTACTCTCCCTTAATTTTTGGTGGAGTTCACCAAGTGAACTAAAAAAAATTTTGGGCTCTGAACGAGCGAATATCAGGTCAGGCTGACGGGACGTAGGTTGTGCCTCCGACAATGATAAGGGCGACATGGAAGAATAGAGGTATCTACCTTGACCATACCTTCCGATAACGGCAAGGTTGTACCACACGTGATTTCGTTTTAATATCGCATGATCGCAGTCTAGAATCACGTGTGCATGTCATCCAACAAGCAGGTTCATCTGATTCCGTTTATCACTTGTGCACTATAGCAAACCGCAAATTCATGTGATTCAATAAATCACGCGTGAGTGTTGACCAACACGCAGGTTCGTCATGGTACATATATATCACGGTTGCGTGTTAACCAGCACGCAGGTTCGTCATGGTAACGCGTCGGGATTACCTAATCCATCACTGAGCTTATCTTTATATTAGGTAAAGTCGACCGCTGCATTTGAACCAGCAATCTGAGTGCGGTAGATAAGACCTGGGGCAATAACCACGTCATTAAGACCTGCTCAACCAGAGACAGGATTACTAGCTAAAGCAA